GGCATCTAACAACAACAACAACAATTATTTAAACCATTGTATTCATATCTCCTTGTTAGTCCTTTAGCACAAAATGAAAATAAAATGTTAATAGAAAAAATGATAAAATAAGGCATTTTCCTTAGCCATGAAAAGAATAAATGAGGAGAAAAATGTAATTCTGGAAACCAATAAACAGCTATCTCATTATTGTGAATGTTTATCATTTCCTTTCATTGAGATTTGCAAGTCAGTCCATTCACTTTGACTAAGCACCTGATTCCAAACAAAACTGTAGGAAGAACCTGTATATTGTCCATTTGCCATGCAGGTAGTTAAAACCAATGTCATGTGGCTTTGTTACTTAACTAACCTGTAGTCACATTGGTATCTGCTAATCCAGTTGTCCTGCTCTTGCTTCTCTCTCTCTCCAGATCAGCTACATTATTCTGACAATCAACTGGTACTTTTGAATCCAGGTCAGATTGATTTGAGTGCAGTTTCTTGGATATGTCTACATGGTGACTCTGCAATGACATAGACCACAGTGATTGATTTCACAAGTAAATTATCAGTCCAAAATAAATGCTTCCCAGAGATACAACAGGGATAATCACTTAACCATATGACAAGTTATTTCTATAAGTCTGAAACAGAACATTCAATGTGTCAAAATGAGTTACAAGTTATATTTTCATCAGTTTGTTTTGGTAATTTATGTGTGGAATATTTGAGGTAACAGAAATAATAAGAGTAAGAAGGTACCGCAGACACACAAAAAATCATTTTCAAAGATTTTATATCTTTCTTTATTTCCATGCATCTTATAAAATATTTTTCATTTAGAATATTCTGATTCATTTTATAAACTTTTATAAATAACCCAGCATTTCATTATAGATTACATATGTATATGTTATACAAAGAGTGGGTTTCACTGACAGAGTTTCTATACTATTTAAAAAAAAACAAATTATAGCTTCTACTTTATAATAACCCATCTTTTTCTTCAGATTGATGAAAACTTAGCAATGCTTCTTTAGTCTATTAAAGATACAGCATCAACAGTCCTTAAAATTTATCTCACATGTAAGAGCTGTCACAGTGTTTGATTTTTACTGACCTATTGAATTGAATGGAAGAAATGAGGAGATCCAAGAGCTGAACAGAAATTTTCAAAGATCAGCTTGAGTAGATAAAGCCAAATATTACAATAAAATGTGCAAAGATCTGGAATCAGAAAACCAAAAAGGAAAAACACACTCAGCATGTTCTGGGAGAACTGAAGGAAAAATTGAAGCCTCGACTTTCATTATTGAGAGATTCTCTGGGCAAATTATTGAATGATGCAGAAAGCATCTAGAGAAGATAGAAGGAATACACAGAATCACTGTACCAAAATGGAATGCTTCATGTTCAACTGTTTCAAAAGGTAGTATATGATCAAGAACCAATGATACTAAAGGAGGAAGGCCAAGGTGCATTGAAGGAATTGACAAAGAACAAGGCACCAGGAATTGATGGGAAAAAAAAATTGAAATCTTTCAAGAAAGTGAGGCTGCACAAGAGGCACTCACTCGTCTATGCCAAGAAATTTGGAAGACAACTATTTGGCCAACTGACTGGAAGAGATCCATATTTGTGCCCATTCCAAAGATAGGTGACTCAACAGAATGTGGAAATCTTTGGACAATCTCTTTGATATCCCATGAGAGTAAAGTTTTACTAAGGTAATACAGAAATGGCTACAATCATACATTGACAGAGAACTTCCAGAGGTTCAAGTCAGATTCTGAAGAGGCCAAGGAATGAGGGATATCATTGCTGATGTTCAGTGGATCTTGTCTGAAAGCAAATAATATCAGAAATATGTTTACTTGTGCATTATTGACTACACGAAGGCTTTTGAATGTGTGGATCATGACAAGCTATGGACGACATTGCGATGTATAAGTATTCTGGAAGACTTAACTCATGAAGAATTTGTACCTGAACCAAGAAGCAGTTGTTTGAACAGAATATGAGAACACTGAATGGTTTAAATTTTTAAAAAGGTGTGCAACAAGGTTGTATTCTTTCACCATAGTTATTCAACCTGTATGCTGAGAAAATAATCTGAGAAGCTGGGTACTATGAAGAAAAACATGGCATCAGGATTGGAAAAAGACTCATTAATAACCTGTGATATGCAGATGATACAACCTTGCTTGCTGAAAGTGAAGAGGACTTAAAACATTTACTGATGAAGACCAAAGAGCACAGCCTTTGGTATGGATTACATCTCAATGTTAAGAAAATAAAAATCCTCACCAATGGACCAATAAACAGCATTCTTATCAAC